TAAAATTCATAATCACAAATCAAACTACAAGTTGGCAAATGCCCAAGAGAGCACAGAAGTTCATGAAATACAACCTTTAGTATACCTTGCCTGTAAAGAAAAAAAACCCTGACCAAAACATTAACTAGATACAGTTGTTTGCAAAAAAAAAAAAACCCAAAACCAACAATATTTTGTGCCCTTATCTTTGTGCAGAAGTAAAACCTCCTCCACTTCCACCTCCAATGGTACTACTGAAGGCAAAGAGCTAACAATCTTCTCATAACAAAACAAAAAGCTCATTTCATGCGTGTGCACTGAGGTGTAAACTGAACTAAAAGTTAAGCTCCCACCCAACATTCTTCTAGACTCATTAACAGCCAAGATGCCACCTATTCAATGTGTAACAAAGCTACATTTGTTACTACCGGATTTACACAAGGTGAGATACTTTTTAGTGCTGCTACATTATGTGATGGAAGCTGTTTTATGTTTTTCTTGCTATTGAAAAGATTTTAAATAGTGCTGTTCAGTTTTAGATTTATTTACTTGTGTACAGATGCCTTTTGAAAAGCAGTATTGAAAACACAGTAGTTTTGAGACACGGTCCTCAAGTCTAGTTGTGTCATCCCTCTGTGTAATGTCACCGTGTGTTATCTGGATATATGCCTAGCAACATGGGTGCACTTCACAGAATCACAGACTCACAGAATGGTCAGGGTTGGAAGAGACCTCTGTAGATCATCTAGTCCAACTCCCCTGCCAGAGCAGGGTCACCTACAGCAGGTTGCACAGGACGGCGTCCAGGCAGGTTTTGAATGTCTCCAGAGTGGGAGACTCCACCACCTCTCTGGGCAGCCTGTGCCAGTGCTCTGCCATCCTCAAAGTAAGTAAGTTCCTCCTCCTGTTTAGATGGAACTTCCTATGTTCAAGTTTGTGCCCGTTACCTCTTGTCCTATCACTGGGCACCACTGAAAAAAGACCGTTCTCACCTACCTGGCACCCTCCCTTTAAGTGTTTATAAGCATTGATAAGATCCCCCCTCAGTCTTCTTTTCTCTAGACTAAAAAGACGCAAGTGCCTAAGCCTTTCCTCATAAGAAAAATGCTCCAATCCCCTAATCATCTCTGTAGCCCTTTGCTGGACCCTCTCCAGCAGTTCCCTGTCTTTCTGGAACCAGGGAGCCCAGAACTGGACACAATACTCCAGATGTGGCCTCACCAGGGCAGAGTAGAGGGGGAGGATGACCTCCCTCGACCTGCTGGCCACACTCTTCTTGATGCACCCCAGGATGGCATTGGCCTTCTTGGCCACCAGGGCACATTGCTGGCCCATGGTCATCCTGTTGTCTACCAGGACTCCCAGGTCCCTTTCCACAGAGCTGCTCTCCAGGAGATCAGCCCCTAACCTGTACTGATGCTTGGGCTTATTCCTCCCTAGGTGCAGGACCCTACATCTGCCTTCATTAGGTTTCTCGCCACTTCTGCAACTTCAAGTTGGGGGATTCACTTTTTTACGGCAAACTCCTTTAAAAGAAGAAAAAAAAGAAAAAAAGAAAAAAGGATACGCAGTTCCTCTGATGCGCTTGATTTTCCCAGGGTCTGTGAACTGAATAGGCTGCAAGACCTTTCTCACCGGGCAAGAAAACACTATTTCTCCTCCCCCTTTGGGAGGCATTCCTCTTCGGTTGATCTAGAAACAACAATGGAGGAAAAAAAGCAGGTTAGTAAAGAGCACAAAGAATGTACTTACACACTCAAAAATGATAGCTTTTATTTCATGTATAATAAAATGTTATTAGTAGGGGTATTGCATGAACAGAGGCGAGAAAAAGGCATCCTAAAGGCAGAAATGGATTTTGCACCAAACCTATAAGCAAAAATTGATTTATTTTTTCCTCCTCTCTTGCCAGTACAGTAGGGCATGGCTTCTCAATGCAAAACCAACCCAGACCAAACAAACAAAACCCCAACACCTTTAGCAGCAAGGCGACCTTGGCTTAAGACCAGTCTCTAACAGCAAATCTGTACCTCACTGCTGAAGAGAGCCTGGAAGTGATGCTTGGTATGTATACGGGGGACCAGAATGCACTCATTCCCACAAACAGGCCACGCCAGCCCAAGGGTGTCCCACTGCCCCAGCCAGCGTCCACAAAGATGGGGATGTGACGTGGGCCCATGGGTGGGTCTGGCTCAGGTGGCACATGGCCAGGGAGGGTAGGGCTGCGGGGAGCTGGGAACTGGCTGTGCTGTGGGGTGGCTGGAGCAAGGGCTGACAGTGGGGTCAGGGGGCTGACATGGGGTGCTGGGCCATGGGCAGGGGACGGGCAGAACTTGGTAGAGCAAGCAAAGACTAGTAATGCAGACAGGGCCTTCACACGTTTTAAGTGAGAAAGGCTATAGTTTCTGTGTCCAACCAAAAAAAAAAAAAATATTCTACATCCAGATTTATAGGGCCTGTGAAGAGTGTAGTCTTTAAAGAAAAGTTTTTTCCCCTGTATTTTCCAAACTGGAAGCAAACCTCAATGACCCCCAAACACAGATCCAGCTTCTCTCCCAGTGAAGGAGGCAAAAGATCCTACTACTACTCCCTAGCCTTAAGCACGGGTCAGGAAGAGCAAGTGGAAGGAAAAAGAAATTAAATGAACTGAAGAGGAACGAGAAAGCAAAATGTATTCTTAGCTTGCAAAGATCTTGGAGACTAAGAAAAGTCACTACCTTTTCTTTACCCTCTCTACCCATAGCCTTTGCACCTCTCTTCTACCACATCTTCAGTCACCACGTAGCTGGCATGCCATTTAAAACATGCTAAGAACAAGAGGCAATTTTAGAAACGTTTTCCTTTAGAAATGAGTAAATTCTCTTACTTTGATTTCCAGACTTTCACCATCAATTCCAAACTTCTTCAGCAGTGGTAGAGCTGTAGCCTTAAGGACATCAACCTACAGAACACAGAATTAAAAAAGAAGACTCTTTATTGGAAGTACAGAAGTCAGTAATTTAAAAGTCATTGCATTATGAGGTGTGTAACAAAGACAAGGCTTCTCCATACTAGGTATTCTATGGGAAGACATGGGAATACAGCATAGAGAGCTTTGGCTACCCTTAGACTACCACAGCATCTCATTACTCAAAAAATTTGCTAGAATAAATTATGGGAGATGGAATTTCTTATTCCAGATTTCTTCCTCAGCCTGATTTTTATTTCTGTTACGGTTCAGCTAAAACAGCTCAGCTGTTTCTCTGAACACAGACATTCAAAAAATTATTCTGTTGTTGCTAAAAAATTGCTACAGCTAAAAGAATGATGATTGCAAGAACCTTTGCATTTTGGAGCAGGCCCTTGATTTGGCAGGAAGAACCTCATCCTTTTGTCAAGAACTTCTTTTCATCTATTTCCGAGAAACAGAAGCTTCTAGGGAACTTCTGTTGAAATACTTAGAAGAATCTGAAGTGGGTGACACATCATTCACATACTCCCTTTAAGCCAGATGCTTGCCAGATCCAGGTCTGAGCAGGATTTTCCTTGCCATTGCTCCTCCTAATTGCTGACCTGAGACAACAATGACTGTGATCTTTCCTCTGCTGAAACTTCAGTAGCGTTGCCAAAGGTGACAAAAATGATTTAGCGGAGCAACAGCACAGGGAGTTACCCAAGACAAGCAGCTTGCGAGAGACAGGACCAGGAAAGCATGACCAAAGAGGAACTAAATTCAGGTGAAAGAAACAGGCATGCAGCAGACAGCAGTTGAGGAGGCAGAAAAAAAGTACCCTGCTTCCCATGCCTTCAGCCAGAATCCAAAATTCTTGAGTTTCATTCTCTGTGCTGGCGGACAGTGAAAGCCATGGACAAAGTAGCAGAGCATACCTCACCTACAAAGCTGTGAACAACGTGTTAGAGCTACCTGAGCAGCTACAAGTGTATGCTGCAGTTCTCATTCTTCAAATCCTGCTGGCCAACATACTTCCTTTCTCACAGAGAAACATGTGGTGTTGTTTTTAATGGTAGTATCAGTATTTGAATATCTTTGCTAAAAAAAACAACCCACTCTAAGTAATTTTTTTTTTTTTATATTTATATAGTCTATATTTTTTTTATAGCCAGTCTAGCTTAATTCAGCCCCTCAGTAGTATTCAGTAATCACACAAATTTGACTTTTAGAGCAAAAACCTTTACTAACATGCATGTACAGACACATGTGCATGTTAGAAGTTCCAACATGCTGATCTGGATCCGATCTTTAATTGGCATTAAAGTTATACAATATTTCTCCCCTAGTTTTATCGTTTGAGAAACCCATAACTATTCATTGTCGTTTAAACAATTATTCTATCACCCGATGACCCCTCCCCACCCAGGAAATTGGGGAAAAAACAAGGAAACCCGGGGGTTGAAATATAAACGGATTTAATAGAATAAGACTAGATAATTAACATTAATAGCACTAAAGAACCAACATGGATCTTGATACCAATAGAAAAGATGCAAAGGTTATACTCAGCCCATTCTATCAGTAGGAAGCTGTGCACTCCCAGCAGTGGACAGCAAATGTGGGACACTGCGAGCTCTACAGCTTCGGGAGGAAGGGAAGGGCTCAGGGGTCTGGCACCAGGGTGAGAAGTTCTCAGGATGGCCGCCATCAAGGGAGAGAGAGAACTTTGCAGCAAACTTTCTAATTTATATTGAATGTGACATTCATGGTATAAAATAATCCCGTTGGTTAGCTTTTGTCAAGTGCCTGGGTCTCACTCCTCCTCATCCCTGGCAAGCTTCAAAACAGTGAGACCTCGAAACCCACACACCATAGCTGCCTATAAAGTAAATATTTTCACAAATTCAGGCACTAGAGTCTTCTAAAAGTGCAGTCTTCGCAAGTATTAGAAGATAAATTAGTCCTGTGTCACTCAAACCAGGACACTTGGGAAACAAAATATACTAGTAAAAAAAGAAAAGCTTCACTGTGTAGGTTAGGAACTCCCTTTTCCTTCTTCATTTCCACTTTTGCAGTTCTGGACTGAAGTCTATATCTCTGGAGAAAGCACATTATGCCAGCATTAGGAAGCTGGATCAATTTTGGGTCTGGTTTGTCTGTTTTAAAAAATTTCAAGACTTGTCATAGTTTTTAGTCCTCAGACAAATTCTAGGCATGATACTTATCAGGTACCAGACAGACACATAATAAGAGACTGTCTCTGTTCCAAATTTGCAGCCTAAATAGTGAAGGTAATCGCCAGTATTTGAAGAAGTCGAAAAGGCTGTTCTGCTTAGCGGACCAGTGGGAGTTCAGGCAGGAGAGGTTAAGTACTTGACTGGAACTCACAAGATGGTAGCAGAACTGAGACCTAAAACTGTATTTCTAGTCTCTTGCCTATACTCAGCCATAAAGCCGTTCTTCAGCTCCCCTTGAAAGGCAGTTATTCCATTGCCAGAGCACACAACACAACACCAACTTGTACCAAGGCAAATGCATCATACAACCAAGGGCATACCTCACCACAAATGCCAACAACTTGCTAAGTCCCATAGACATTGCTTGTTCACAAACCGCTGTAAATACAACCCTTTTGCCTTTAAAGAAATCTACAATGATTACAAAAGAAAAATAACTTTTAGTGATTTGCAGAATCTATTAGCTAGTGCAAAACTGAAAAAAAAACCCAACCCAAACCCAGACGCTCACCCTACAGCACATGGCTACCTAGCAAAGGGGCAAGGATCAGCTGGCCTGTGTAGTCATTAGTGCTGCACAGAAGAGTATTTATCCCTGCCATATATACAGAGCTGTGTTTTGGGGACAAGAACCTAGACTCAGGGTGTGGGAAGAGCGAAACCAGAGTTTGGCAAGTTAAAAAAAAAAAAAAAAAAGACAGAAAAGTCAGCATTTTTTTTGTTTTCCTGGGATTACAGACAACTGCTGAATTTGGATTAAAACTGAAGATGATTGCTGGCAAGCCAAAACTTCATATGCTAGTCTCATGCCAGCATGAAAATAATTTCTGTTTGAAGTCCCACGGCACAGCTGTAAAAAAACTTCAACATTTGCAAACCCAAACATTAAGAACGATTATTCTAAAAACAGGTTACTGTAGCACTATATATCTGTCAGAATTACAACATGTATAGAAGGAAAGAAAAATAAAAGCTATTATTTGCATGCCACCTCCATTCCCTTCAAAAAGGCACTTTATAAAGACACCCCCCACATACACGGTCTCTATACAGAAAAACCTGAAACTACCTCAACTCTATACTCCATTCCCCCACAGCTGGTCCCACAGGCTATCCACAGTCAGGTATCACCAGCGGTTGTGCAGAAAAATATAATGCAAATGTAGGCTGCCAGTGGCCGGTTCAGGCTGGTATTCCAAAGCCACGTCTCTTCCCAACAAGTGTGAGCAAAATCATATCCCTCTCACTCATTGAGTGACTCACTTCCTCTCACCTTGACCAATTCCACTCTCCCCAGAGCAGATCTGCCACGTTCCCTCTTGTCCTACCGACAAGGTGGTCTCCAGCAGAGAGCAACCTCAAAGTCCCAACACAGCTATCACATCCAACAGATATTTTTGAGGCTGTGTGAAAGCTGAGAGCTCAGTGCTTAGAGTGGATTTCAGAAGGCCCAGTGGGTCAGCCTACCTGCTTACCGCTACCATGAGGGAAAGGTCCCACTCCTCTGGCTGCACACACATTGCTGCTGCTTCACCTGTGGATGCCTCCATGAGAAAATGCAGGGGTACAGTTAGTTGGACTGGCTTAGGAATGGCTCTGAAAAGTGTCCAGGATACTGGAGTACGCAGGACTGTGTGGCTGAAAGAAGGAGATACGGACGGAGCATGGGCAGGACTACCTTCTTCTTTCAAGCACAAAGAGGGTGCTATAGGATCATATGTGTGTATATGTACATATATGTTTCAACACACATATATGGATTTGTACATTTGTCTGCAGGTGACAGATGTTGAGGGCACTCATGCAAGGATACATCCCATAGAGTTCATCTAGCTCCAAAATAGACACGTTCACAAAATGTCATAAGGCTTTTTAGAAGAAAAAGAGTAAAAATTCTCCAACGATGGTAAGTGGGTGTCTTGGCTATTGTACCTACTAAGTTGAGACGGAGAGGTTCTTACATGAAGAGCAGCAGGGAAAACTTGCCCATTTTAAACTACCCATAAGGTATTTACATTGGTTTGCCCTTCCCCTTCTCCTTGGAAAGCCAGAAAGCGTACAGATGAATAGACAAATTCAAGCATCCCTTTTCAGGCAAGCATAAGTAATAAATGTTCACCTAGTTTCTAAACACCTTCTGCCTAGTAAAAGCTCAAATCAATTTAAGACCCAGTTTCCATTTACTTAAGCCCATAAACCACTCAGGGTAGTACTTAAACTTGTGCTTTTAGTCTCAGCAACCTGCAGAACCATATGATATACAAAACATCTTGTAAAACTCCTTAAAGTAGTTTATTGGTCGGCACAAAGTTTAATATTTACTCAGGCTAGTTAAACAGACATAAACCAGTTTTAGGAATCGCTATTCAGTTATGGCCACTTAAAAAGTTACTACACATGAGCTGAGTCACAGCAACTACAGTTGTGCTTCTACAGCACAATGAACTTCAGATATAACTCCTTAGCACGCACATCTGCATTTTACTGAAACTTCATGGCAGGTACTGTGGTCAGCTGATGCATGCCAACACACTTCTGTGTCTGAGCTTTGGCCAGTGCAAGACCCCTTCAAGCACAAACAAACTGGCTCAAATTCTCACACCCATTTCAACTAAAATTGTTTAAACTCTGTTGGCCCACGTGATGGATGCCTGAAAAGGGATAATTTCCAGAATCAAGACTGAATTGCTTAGATGAGCATCCAAACTTACTTGAAAGCAACACTAACATTGGACTGCTCTTTGTCTCCAAATCATTCAAGAATTTCTCCTGCATGATTAAAAAGATGCAGTCAACCAAAAGAGACTTCTTTGATTCTTACTACTTATCATTTCTATTAAGTTCTTCTAATCACGGTGACTCAAAAGTTAGAGAAACATGCTTCTCATTTTAGAAGGTTTTTCCTTTTCCTTTTTTTTGACAGTGCTGTGTATAACCTGCTACAATCATCCTTTGACTCGTGTGCATCTCACCTGTGCAGAGCCACAGGTGAGAGAATAAGTTTTTCAAATGAGAAGAGAAGCACAGTTGAAAAGCCATAAATACCAGCAGGACTTGGAAGCTCGTCTAATATCTGCAATTATACCTAATAGTATTAGTATTCATTTAAACTGGTTAAGTTTTCAGATGACAATGTTTCCTTAGTCTATTCAGAGGAAAACTGACAATCTCCAATCACTACTCAAAAGGTAAACAGCAGCACTGTTCTCCAAAAGCTATTATGTTTGTTGGGTTTTTTTGGAGGGGGGAGGAGGAGTGCATAACCACTAACCATTACTTCAGTGTTTTAATCCCGTGTTAACCACAGCGCATTTTTGTAACAACACTGTTAAAACAAAGGACTGTAAATCAGCAGTAGTAGAAACCAAGGCAAGCATTTCATTGTTGTTTGATCTACCATGCCTTCTAGCATCTTTCAGAAGAATGAGAGAGTTCTAACATATTTTTGCAATTGTAATTTCATAATTGCCATGTGACTTCAGTTTCTAATAGAAAAGTGGCTTCACAGCAGCACTGGTATAACTATGTCCAGCACCTAACAGAAGAGAAAGATTCCTTCCTTGTCACACTCAAATTTTAAAGAAAATTTTCTCTTTTTGCAGTAAATACATACACGGAGTGGGAGGAAAAAAAAAAAATCTAATTTTTAAGAGAACAGGAGAAGCAAACCAGTGGCAGGGCCTCACATTGCATTTAAAAGGAATTTCCAGGGGAGGAGACCAAAGCAGCACAGAACTGAAAAGGTGGATTATAAACTGCAGTTTGGAGTGTGATGCAGAAAAGCAGCAGTTTAGCAGATGCTGGTTTGATTCAGAGAGTTTCCTGGCAGATGCATTAACACTGGATACTTCTGGATGTGAGAGATCACAGAAATGCAACATGTTTTAGAAACTTCTTCTTAATCTTTTTTTTTTTCCTTTATTTTCCAGAGAAAAAATAAAAATACTCCTCTGGTACTTAAATTTTATTACTTACTGAAGGATCTACTTGATCATTTGTTACTCCCCTCAGGACAATCTTCAATGGATGTTTCATGAAAGGTGCCAAGCAGAGCATATTTTCAAAATTTTAGCCAATACCGCGACTGGGGCTGCAGTCATGTTCCAACGAGCCTCCGTACAGAAGACCGGGCTGATAATACAAGGTAGTACCTGGGGAAGATACCAATAAAGCAAAGCAAATCAGAGCACTGTCAGCACACTGGTCATCACTACAACATAAAGACACTTTGCAGCTAGTTATACAGGCAAATTGGAGAAAGAACAATTTATGAAAGCTGGTAGCACTTCCAGCAGGCTGTTTCTACGTCTGCAGCTAATAAAACGGCCAACGCATGGGCGTCTGTCTGTCTGGTGCATCATTTCTCCTTTCCCTTCCTCCCCAAAAATCAAGGAACTCTTAGCAATCCCCAAAATATCAATACAAGCAATTATTATCCTCCACAGCAGATAAATCTTCACCAGGCCACCAGGTCATCACTGTCTCAGCGTATCTGGTGGTAGTTCATCTGCTCTGCTGACCAACCATAACCCTTAAAATCCTTCGGAAAAAAAAATAAAGATGAGGATAAGAACCAGATGAGATTTTTATGTGAGATGCTTCTCGCTCAAACCAACCCCTTTGTAAGAGCCAATTTGTAAACTCCCCAAACAAAGACTGAGAGAAGCATCCTGAAGAGATAAGGAGAGGGGGGGAAGGCCCTCTGAGTTTCACTGAAGAATGTCTCAAACACTTGCAAGCACTCACAAGCACCTTGAGATACAGCTATAGTCAAGGGGTGGATAATGTGGAGGGCTGCATAATGTGGAGTCTGGATAACTAGGCCTTATGCTCAAAGAACTGGTAACACTAACATTTGTTTACCTCTTGTGTGACTCAGGTGAGAAAACTTTAAATAAGACAGGATGAGTCTGGGGGGCGGGGAGAAATCTTGTGAAGACAGGACTTTGTGGTCAACTTTTGAAGCTTGTTAGTTGTCTGGTTTTGGGGGCATTGTGTCCAATGAATGACCTTTGCCTCATTATCCACGAAATATGCTGCATATGCTAATGAAGATTATCAAGATCACGCTAAACATATGACTATAGCACTCATCTCTCCACCCAGATCATGCTATACATAACCTGGGGGGTGGAACCTGAGACAAAACTGCCAGCATAGCTGTACAGTGGGTTGTACTGCTACCGCAAATACAAAAGGGGAAAATTAGTACCACAAAGGGGAATCCACGCGGAGGAGCACTCCTATGAACCTGAGACCCCCATTGGAGATCAGGACCGGTGATCTCTTTATCTCTCTCTCTTTCTCTCCCTCTCTTCCCTGCCCCCCCCCGCCTCTGTTTTCTCTTTTCCCTTATAATTGTTCAGTAACACAAGGTGCACCTCACGACTTGCCATAATTTGTTTTACCGCTTGCCACAATTTATCGTGGACCTAGTTAAGACATATATTAATCACTGTGGGGATCTAATTAATGTTTTTGTATAGACCTTGAAAGATGTGTCACCTTAGAATCTGAGTCACTTCCCACCACCCCCACCACCTCTTTTCTGAGTGGGGTGTGACACTCTTTTCTGAGGGTCACTAGACAAGCAGTCTGGCTCAGAAGTTTGCCTCTGTAGATGGCAAACATTGCCTTCTACAAAAATACGTTCTGGTTCAGAGGGACCTTCCTCCACTACAAAATCCTGCATACCAAACAAAATACTAATTTTAATTCTTAAGGAATACAGTTTGCTTAATTCTCTGCATTATGGTGGAGTGCTGGTCTTCTTGCAGGTGATCAATTACTACAAAACTTCTCAGCTTGGTTATTTCTGGTCTTGTCAGTCAATGCTATCTGAACACGTACTTCTGTCAAGCCAAAACTCTGATTTCATTGCAGCAACTCATACAGCCTGGAAGACCAGAACAGAGGAGGAAGAGAGAACAGATCTCACCTGTTTGGTTTATTTCAATCCGAGAGCCATTGGTCACTTTGTCAATCAGGCGAATAAAACTTGCTTCAAAATCTGAGGAATAGAACAAAGACAAAATTTTAAGATTCCTTACATTTATTCCTGGGGAAAAAAAAAAAAAAGGACCCTTCAACACAATACTTGTACATTTTCCCTTTCCTGCCTCTCACAACAGTAAGTCTACCCTCACCTACTTGTTGTGGTATAATTCTATCACATGAGAAAAGGCAATTTACTATAAAAACAGAGATGTTAATTTGAACCTCCATGCTTTTAGGCATCTCAAATCAATTGAGGTGCACCCTCCCCCCTGATGCAACCGTTGGACTAGCGACAGTCCTCTCCCCGACACACAGCCAGTGATAAAAATTTACACTTCTGACCACAGTGGCCTGAGGGATCAATCAAGCCCAGGATAAAACCTTTGACAATTTACATTTTGCTCAGTATGAAGCAAAGCATACACATCCTAGCAAACAGGATGTCATATATTTAAGCATAGTAAGCTAATAACATCTTATTCTCTGTAAAAGTCTTAGTTTAAAAGAAGGGGACATACAGATGTGAAGTTCTGCTGCTGCACAGTGGTTCCACAAACACAATTAGCTACCTGCAGACTTTCACATTTTCCATTTCCAAAACTGTAATTGACATAATAAAAGCTAGAGGAACACAAGTCTCCCCATTACCTCCTTTCTTGCTTACTGTGTACACTATAGCAGTTCGTGTGGAACTAATTCCTCAGTTTCTCTTGTTTGTGCGCACTCTCGCTCTGAGACACCGGGAAGGACAAGCATGTTCAAAAAAAAAAAAAAAAGGGGGGGGGGAGGAATATGCTAGTATTCTAGTATTTAGGTATCCCAAGCTGCTACAGACTCAGTATCACGGAAAACATGTGAATATATGCAGAGCTCAAAACCCAGGTAGTTTTAAGGGCCAACAGCACCTGTGTAACTGTCAGCAGGTTGCAGAACTTCCTTAGCAATAACCCTGTGTTACTTCTTAAAACAGCAATCGGATTTTTCTTCCTATGTAAGATTCTAGGATGCATAAACATTTAAACCAAAGAGCTACCTGCAGAAATTACAGTTTGTCAATATTTGCATGATATGGTTATTGCCCCAGTCACACAGTGCTGATTCTGCCCTCTGTCATCATAGTTTCTAAACTTAAGTTTATATGAGAGATCTGAGACCTCTTCCAGGGCAGGACTGCATCACTGCAAATACCCATTTCCCTCTTGGAGCACAAACCTGTAGAAAAGTTTTCATTGCAAATGTTCCAGTCATGAAAAGCAGAGAACTGCATGTTGTATCATCAACACAAATCAGGGTTTCTTGTTATTATTTTTCTGTTACAGTTACAGTTTACATTTTAACCCATACTTGAAAAAGGCAATTCGAACACCTCTTAAAAAAACCATGGCAAAAACTAAGCCAGTTTTGCCTTTCTGTAAGCTGCTATGGTAGATGAAAGCACAGAAAAAGTTTCAAATGAGGTTTTTGTGGTGCTAATGTTTCCTTCGGTCCTTTACGTTGGCTGCAGCCTAAATCACATACAACTTCACCACCACCAAACATCCCATGGCAATAATAAATGCTTTGGGTCACAGTAAGTGTTAACTTAAGCACACACACGACCGTTTTGACAGTTTCGAGGAGAATTTCTAGCTATAAGCTGCAGTCTCCTCCAGAGGCAGACTAGTGTCTATGCTGGTCCTAACCCTGTTCTGAACTTCACACCTTGTCCAAAAAATAACTGAATGCCACAGCAACGTCTCTTCCCCCATCTCTACCCTACTGCTTTCTTACTTCAGACACACGAGGAATTTTACTTTGGGGTGCTGCAGCTTCTGCACTGGAATGAAGAGGGTACTCCCTAAGCAAGATTTCCCCCAGAGGAGCCCGCAGGCTCGGAAGCTTTCAGAAACGACAAGCAAATGGCTTTCACGCCTCTCGCCTTTACCACTATTTGGGGCAAACCCAGCTAAAAATCAGAGGCTCACGCCCGACCCGTTATGGCTGTGGGAATCTGGGCCTCCGCAGCGCCCGCCAACTCTGCAACTTTTGACTGAAGAACCCGCTTTTA